GAGTACGTTGCGATAACAGTCAATTGTTTGTTCTAACGTCCACGTACAACAGATTAGGCCGCACAGATGGTTCAAAATGTTTATAACATCTATAATCTTTGAACTCAATTAAAAATTTATGCTTGGTCACACTTAATATTCAAATGAGAATTTTTATAGTAAGGACTAGCTAAACCCGGTGCGCTTCCCTGCCCCTTTTGATTTTATATGCATTCAAAATTTAATTTACGAATTTATGTTGAATAAAAAAAAAAATTAAAAATTAAAAAAAAAACAAGTTAAAAAGCAGTAAGTTCGGCCGGGCCGAACTTTTAATACCCTCCACCATTTGCAACGAATTTGGAAATTTTCAAATAATAAAATCCTTAAAAAATTCTGTTAAAATTTTAAAAATACCGAATATAGCCGTTATATTGGGGTCTATACGACGTGGACATACATAGGCATTGTTTATCATAAGCCATTACCATATTCAAATTCGAAACTTGAAATAAACGGTGAATAATGTAGCTAAAATCATCAAAATATCGTACATAAGGAGGTGCCGTTAAATTGGAGCTGTGCGAAGATCTGGACCAGCAAAGACAATTTTCTGTCACAGGCTGTGGCATCCATTACGAACTTCAAATACCACATCTCAAACAATTTCGGCGGGTATTGTACCTAAAATCGTCAAAATACCGAATATAGGGAGGTACTGATATATGGGGCCTATACGAAGACCTGGACCCGCACAGACAGTTTTCTGTCACAGACTGTAGCTCCCACAACGAACTTCAAATACCAATTTTGAAACATTTCCGGTGAATAATGTCGCTAAAATCATCAAAATATTGAATATAGGGAGGTACCGTTATAAGGGGGCTATACGAAGACATGGACCTGCACAGACAATTTTCTGTCTTAGGTTGTTGTATCCATTTTGAACTTCAAATACTAAATTTTAAATTACTTCCGGGAAAAAGGTAGCTAAAATCATCAAAATACCGAATATCGGGAGGTACCGTTATATGGGGGCTATACGAAGACATGAACTTGCACAGACAATTTTCTATCTTAGGGTGTAGTATCCATTTGGAACTTCAAATACCAAATTTGAAACAATTCCGGTGAATAATGTCGCTAAAATCATCAAAATACCGAATATAGGGAGGTACCGTTATATGGGGGCTATATGAAAACGTGGACCTACATGGCCCATTTACGAACTTAACCTGTCTACTGGCAGGTGTGTGCAAAATTTTAGCTATCTATCTCAATTCATTCGAAAGATAGCGTGATTACAACAGACGGACAGACGGACATCGCTAAATCGACTTAGTTCGGTCTGACATGAGTATTTCGAGGAGTTACAAACGGAATGACAAAGTTAATATACCCTCCATAATATAGTGGAGGGTATAAAAATATTGCCCTACTTTAATGCGTTAATAAACAAAACCATTAGTAAAGCAGTAACATGACATGCATACACGAAGGGTTTGTCCTTCGGATTTATTTATTTCATAGCAAATACCAAGCGTGCAGGAAACTGCAATTTTTTGAAGTTGAGCGGCATTTCTATTTCAATTAGTGAATTCGAGGTATCAACATGCTTCCCCGTACTAAGCGTATTTCAAATTAATTGTTGTGTTGTTTTTTTAGTGTTAGCCTAAGGCGTTGTGGGTCAATGGTTCTTATTAAAATCATATCCCAATCTGATCCGATTTAAATATAATTTTTTATTCTGAATTTCATTGGAATCGGTCATATATATCGTGTTTGGTACATAATATGTATGAAGTCGGCCGAAATATATATGTTAGCTATACCCAAACCTCAACCGATTTCAATATAATTTGGCAATTTTTTTTCTGGTGCCAGATTTCGTCTTTCTCGCTTTGGGTGCATCAAATATATGAAATCGGCCGAGAATATAGAAGAAGATATATAATCAAATCTTAGCGAATTTGAATATAATTCGTTAAATTTATTTTTGTACCAAATTTAGTCACCCATGGCGAATTTCATTGGAATCGGAAAGACGTAGCGTGTTTTGTGCATCAAATATGTGAAATCGGCGGAAAATATATATGGAAGCTATATCTAAATCTGAAGCGATTTTAATATAATTTGACTAATTTATTTTCTAATCAAAATCCCATCACACATTCATTCGAATCGAACATACATATCGTGTTTGGTGCATCAAATAAACGAAATCGGTTGAAGATATATATGGGAGTTATATCCAAATCTGAACCGATTTCAATATAATTTGATAAATTTATTTTCGGATCATATCCCTTTAAACATTCCAAATTTGATTGGAATCGAACATTCATATGGTGTTTGAGGCATCAAATGAACGAAATCGGTCGAAAATATATATGGAAGCTATAACCAAATCTGAACCGATTTCAATATAATTTGGGAATTCAATTTTTTAGATAAAATCCATCACACGTTTCAAATTTCATTCAAAAATGGACATTATCGGTTCACTCCTTACCTTATGGTACCTCTCCCACGAAGGGTCAAAATTTTGAATAATTATAACTCTTATAGAATGTGCCTTCAAATATCACACATCCCAATATTTAAATTAACCCAAGGTCTGGTGTTAAGATGGACAATATCAGACCTCTCCTTTTGGTACCTCCCCCACAAAAGTTCGGAAATTTCAAAAAATATATTTTCTGTACAGAAAGAGAAGCGATAATTCGATTTTGCTCCAACTTTGCAAATCTAAATATTTGCATCAGTTCTAGGTCAGGTGCAAAAATGGACATTATCGGTCCACTCCTTCTGGTACCTCTCCCACGAAGGGTCAACATTTTGAATAATTAGAAATTTTATAGAATGTCATATAATAGTCCGATTGTCTTCACATTTCACACATCCCAATATTTTTATTAACCCAAGGTCTGGTGTTAAGATGGACAATATCGGACCTCTCCTTTTGGTACCTCCCCCACAAAAGTTCGAAAATTTCAAAAAATATTGTTCTGCACAGAAAAAGAAACGATAATCCGACTTTGCTTCAACTTTGCAAATCTTAATATTTGCTTGAGTTCTAGGTCAGGTGCAAAAATGGACAATATCGGTCCACTCCATCAAGTACATCCCCCACAAATAGTCAAAATTTTGAATAATTATAACTCTTTAAAAATGTGATGTAAGAGTCCGATTGTTTTTAAATTTCATACATCCCAATATTTTTATAAACTCAAGATCTGGTGTTAAGATGGAATATATCGGTCCACTCCTTCTGGTACCTCCCCCACAAAAGGTCGAAATTTTGAATATCCATAAAGGTCATAAAACGCGAAATACAATTCTAGTGCCATTTTAGCAAGATTTTAGTACTTTCCAGGATTTAATATATTTCAGTACCCTTTTTTGTGATATTTTCCCTATCAACAACAACTTTAATGTCAATTCTACAATTCTCTTTACACTCCCTCAATTAAGTATTTTTAGTGTCCGAAATTTGCGTTTGAACTCAATATTGCACATCATTTTAATTTTAAATAACACTAATCAACTGGAATTTTACTGAGAAAAATTGAAGTGTTAAAGTTCGAGCGGGGACCTTTTAAAAAACGCCAACATATTTCATTGGAATTTTAAAATTTAAAAAAAAAAATCTCCTGCGGTGATACGTATGTCAAATAATATAATTCTTCATGTCTATTACTTTTTATACCCTACACCACAAGGTGGTCAGGGTATTATGTCTTTGTGCATTTGCTTGTAACAGGTAAAAGGAAACGAGATAGATCCATAATTCCTTTTGATGATCTGCATAGAATCACATTCTAAGTCGATTTATGCATGTCCGTCCGTCCGTCTGTCCGTCCATCCGTCTGTCCATGTATTTTTGTAAACAAAGTACAGGTCGCATTTATTGTCCGATCCAGATGAAATTTTGCACAGATCATTTGTTTGGCCCAAGAACGGACCCTATTGAAATTGGAGTTAATCGGTCAAAATTTAGATATAGCTCCCACATATATATCTTCGTCCGATTTACCTTTTATGGTGCACCAAAAGTGTAATATCAGACCGATTTATATGGAATTTTGCATATACGCCCAAATTAGGCCTGAAAAAAAGTATGCCAAATTTGATCGAAATCGGTTCGGATATAGCTATAGCTCCCATATATATTGTTCATCCGATTTGTTATTTTTGTCCTCCGCAGCCGTAATATGCACTCTGCAACAACAATATTTGGGGAAATATATCAAATATAGCTCAGAAATACATTTGCCAAATTTTATCGAGATCGGTTCAGATTTGCATATAGCTCCCATATATAACTTCGTCCGATTTACCTTTTATTGTGTACCAAACGTCTAATATTTGTCCAAATAGGATGGAATTTCGCACTTACGACCGAATTGAGTCAAGAAGCTAGTATGTAAAATTTGGTGAAGATCGGTTCAGATATAGCTATAGCTTCCATATATAATGTTCATCCGATTTGTTATATTTGTTACCCACTGCCGTAAAATGCACTCCGTAACAACGATATTCAGGGAAATATATCAAATACAGCTCAGAAATATCTTTGCCAAATTTTATCGAGATCGATTCCGATTTGGATATAGCTCCCATATATGTTTTTATCCGATTTTAAATTATTTGTGCACCAAATGGGCAACACAAGTCCGAATTTAAAAGATACAAATGCTTCGGCATATTTAGCCCATTTGAGCTTTAAATTATAATTATAATCATAGCTTGTATGATTGAATTCACCCATAAAAACTTTTAATGGTTATGTGGAGCTCTACTAAATTAGCAAAGTGGTGTAGGGTATCATAAAGTCGGCCACGCCCGACTTTAAGACTTTCTTTACTGGTTTGTATATAAAGGTACACTTCATTGTCAAAAGAAACCGTATATACAATTCCAGCTTTAAAGGTATAATGTACGTACTATTTGGTACCATTTAGTACGATTTTGGAACAGAAACAATATACTATTCTAAAATTATTCTCTTTTTATGCCAGAGGAAGAACTCTACAACGATTTGGATGATCCGCTAGATCATGAATTTGCCTCCTATGAAGAAATGGCCTCGTTGGCCGTCAAGCATGCCGTCAATGCCACCAAGAAACTGAGAGCCATACAGGAACGTATACATCCCGGTGGTTCGGAGGTTTATCCGTAAGTTCGAGTTCAATCCTCAGAGAATACTAAATTTGTTAATATTGTTATTTTTAATTTTCAGAACCCTAATGGGTGGTCCAATTGGTGCGGCGCTAATGCCAGCTGGTAACCCCTTGGCTGTGCATCTTGTCATGTTTACACGCGCCCTTAAGGGTCAAGGTACCCCCGAGCAATACGAGAAATTTGGCAGACGTGCCGACAATTGTGAAATAATTGGCACCTATGCCCAAACTGAGTTGGGTCATGGAACCTTTTTGCGTGGCTTGGAGTCCCGGGCGGACTATGATCGTAAAACAGAGGAGTTTGTGTTGAACACTCCTACACTGACATCATACAAATGGTGGCCAGGAGGATGTAAGTCAAGGGCATGTTTGATATTTGTTTTGAAAAGTTTTAATTATCTTCTTATTTTCCCCATTTTTTGGCAGTGGGCCAAACCTGCAACTATTGCATTTTTGTGGCCCAATTGTATATTGACAATGAGCCGAAAGGTATTCAAATGTTTGTGGTCCAGGTGCGTGATGAAGAGACCCACAAACCCTTGCCGGGTGTACATGTTGGTGAAATTGGCAAGAAGCTGGGTATGAATGGTGTAAACAATGGTTTCTTGGGTCTGAAGAATTATCGTGTTCCCCGCACCAATATGTTGATGAAAAATCAACAGGTCTTGCCGGATGGTACATTTATCAAGAGTCCAGTGTCCCAGCTGTCCTATTTCCCCATGGTATATGTGCGCTGTATGGTTGCCATTAGCAATGCCTTGATGTTGGCCCAAGCAGCCACTGTGGTGACCCGTTACTCAGTGGTCCGGCGTCAGAGTCCCATTGAGGAGGGGTAAGGGTTTTGAGACTTATTCTAAGAATTTAGGAATCTAAGGGTTTCTTTTATTCGATTTTCCAGGCAACCTGAACCCAAGGTCTTGGAACATTTGACCCAACAAATGAAAGTGATACCCGAAATTGCCACTGCCATTGCCTATCGCCTGGCCGCCGGCAATTTACATTTCATGTACAATGAAACGGCGGAGGCCATTAATCGCAAGGACTTCTCACGTCTCCCCGAGTTGCATGCCCTGGCCTGTATCCTCAAGGTTTCCTGTTCCTATGACTCCACATATGGCATTGAACGTTTGCGTCAGGGATGTGGTGGTCATGGCTATTTGACAGCGGCCAATTTGGGTAATTTATTTGCCGTATCCACAGCTGCCTGCACCTATGAGGGTGAAAATTCCGTCTTATATCTGCAGGTGGGCAAAATCCTCATGAAGGTGTGGGCTGATGTTTTGGAGGGTAAAAAGTTAATGCCCACTATGGCATATTTCACAGAATGTGCCAACCGACCACAGTTTCCTCAATGGACTGGTACCTGGGATTGCTTGGTTAGAGCGCTGCAGTATGCTTGTGTGGGGTGAGTTTTGAAGGGGTGATGGGAAAGGAGAATTTAAAAATAACATTTATTTTTCCTGTTTTTAGGGCCACCCGTGTTGCCTACAAGAGCTACTCGGCCCGCCTCAAGGATGGACAAAGCCAACCTGTGGCCGTGAACAACACTGGCTTGGAATTGACAAAGGCTGCCGAATTACATGGCCGTGTCTATGTGGCCTCCAATTTCTATGAGGAAGTCATTAACGGGCCCACAAAGAGTGAACGTTCGCCACAATTCCAAAAGGTTTTGGAAAATCTATTGGAATTGCATTTGATTCAGACCTTCTTCCGTCATTTGGGTGATATTTTAAGGGTAAGTGGAAAACAATATTTTTTTCAAAGACTCGTAGGATTCTTGAATATATTTTCCAAAATTCGTAAAGGGGATATCCGAGCCGCACTCGAATCCTGCTGTCATTTTTCCTTATCATTTGACATTAACATGCCATGATGCCAAGCTGCTTATACAGAATGAGATAAAAAAACTGCAACAAAGTTTTTTTTTTTTAATTTTAATTGAATGAAAACCAAAAATGTCGGAAATAGCATCAAATTTTCGAATAAATTTAGATTTTTTCGAATTGTTCATTTTTGGCACGAATTATGGCCTTTAAACGGCCAATGAAACCGTCTCACGGTACCCGAATGGTGCTCTGCGGTATTTTGGCCTATACCCGGCGAAGCGCTTGCTTGAGGTGATCGACACTTTGGTATTTTTTAGTGCCAACCTTGCTTTCCAAAAAACTCCAGACACAATAGTCCAAAGGATGGGTATTCGGAGATTTTGGTGGCCATTATGCGCAGGAAAAGAAGCGAGGGAACCTCATTTTGTAACCATTTTTGGCGCGCGTTGAATGCGATGGTGTTGAGTCCTATTTGAATGTCCAAGGTCTGCGGTCAAAATGTTTGCGTGGCTCCCTCCCTCCCTCTAAAATATTTTCGCGATAATATTCGGCATTTATTCTGATGCCATAGTCGAATAATACAAGCGGAGAGCGACTATAGGCTGTTATGACGGCCCACACCATCACCATGGCCGGCGCTTGAGTTCTGGTGGCCAACTGAAGGTGTATATTTTCAGCTGACCTCTTTGGCAGGTAAACACGATCATTTTGTTTGTTTACAAACTGCTGGATAACGAATGTTTCTCATCGGAGAAAACCAAATTCGACTGTTCATCACATTCGGCCAAGCGAAGCAACTCTTTCGCTCTTTTGGGTCTATTTTCTTTCTGTTGCGGTGTATGTTCTTGCACTTTTTGGAATTTCAATGGCTTTACCCCAAGCTCATTTTTCAATATTTGCCGAATGAAATATTGCGATAAGTTCAGCACATGAGCCAGTGTTTCGGCCACTGCGACACGGGTTTCGATCAAGTCGCTTCTTTATTTTTCGAACCATTTCTGCTGATGTTGCTGTTTTCTTCCGTCCACTTCCTTGATGACGGGCTGCCAGTATCACGGTAATGAGCGATTGTACGAGACACAAAAAATTTATTCACATTTAAATGCTGGAGTGCGCTAATGATAGCCACTTGTTGGTTTCCAGCCAAATATAAAGAAATTACACCCTCATGCCTGAATTCCATCACGAATAAATTTTTTTCTGAAAAATGTTTACCAAAATGCTTTTGTACGCTTCTAAACCATAATAATTTCAACAGCTGGCACAAGAATGGCTTAGAAATGACAGCAGTCTGAATTTGGTTGCAGTTTTGTCATCTCACCCTGTATATCGTCTCCTTAGAGCTATAATCATCGATTTTATACAGATTTTTTCTAGGCCTGACAATTTTACAATGGTTGTTTTTCAATAATTTTGGCTTTTGGGTTACGGTTACTTTAAAATCTTGATCAGTTATTTCCATTTTTAAAAACTTCTTTGTCTTTTTTTCATTTTAGTTCGTTCCAGTTACGGAAAATGAAATCGCTGCCCTGCAAATCCGTTTGGAGGAAGTTCTCAAGAAATTGCGTCCCGATGTTGTGGCCATTACCGATGGTTTTGAATTTCACGATAAGGTACTGAACTCTGCTCTCGGCTCCTATGACGGCAATGTCTATGAACGTTTGTTCGAGGCTGCCTTGAAACATCCGCTGAACAAGAAACCTGTGCCGGATTTCTTTGGAAAATATCTGAAGCCTTTTATGAAGGAAAATGCTATGAAATCCAAATTGTAAAATAAATTGTGAAAAGTGTATCTTACATTCCCATTTCCATTGTCAATATGTATATATTTTCTGAAATACCTCCCTTGGTAATTCCTGGTACATAGCTTTAAATTTAAGTTTAAAACAAAATGTTTGTACAGTTGTTATTTTATACTTTCTTTCTATTAAATAAAAAAATAGCTTTTAAATACTATATTTCATATTTTTACCTACGACAGGCAAAAGCTGGGCTTAATTCTAGTTCTATGAAAATGTGAAATGAAAACTTTTATAAGGAAAAGAAATGTCAAGTTAATAATTTTATAATGGAAATTTTTTTCATTTTATATTTTCATAGAACAAGAATCCAGTCCCAGCTCTGATTTCAGGATAAATTCCATTGCAGCAAAAGTTGAGAAAGCAAGTCTTCATCTGGATTGGGAATAAGTCTTAAGCAATACTTTATAAAAAATTTGTTTTTTTTCCAAAGTCATCTGATTAGGTCCTTCCTCACAAAACCAACGATTTCTGTCTAGTAGGACCTTTCATATAATATTCTTGCTTAACTCGAAAAAAATAAGCGACCTTTCAGAAATTTCCTTTAAAAAACTATTCTTAGAAAGTTCAACAAAAGTTAGAGATAGCCAGAAAATCCTAGTAAATTCTATGAATCTCACAAATTTCAACAGAAAATCCTAGAAAAATTAACAATAAGAAAAACGGATTATTTAAAATATTCTTAAAAAACTGAAGATTTTTGGTAAGACGGTATTTTAAGATGTGTCATTAAAAAACCGACGACTTTGTATCCAAAAATCCCAACTAAAAATATTCTTAAAAATTTTTCCAATGAAGTTGTTTGAAAAGAATTTCTTCAAAATCCATGATTTCAAGCAGTGAACTTTTAAAAAATTTTGTTAAAAAAGACTTATCAATGATTTTGTCACGATTATTTTATGAACAATATTCATTTTTTATGAAGAAATTCCTTAAAGAGTTTAACAACAACACAATAATATGTAATAATTGTGGTGTAATTTTGTTCAGAAAAATCTTTAGTTGCAAATTAATTTTTTTTTCAAAAATTTCTTGATATTGGTAAGTAGATTTTGAAAAATTCCAACCAAAGTCTTTGATAATTAAAAAAGATGTACTTTTTTTATTAAAAGTCATACAAAAATTAACTATTTTTGCTAGTAAAGAAGTTTTAGACAAATCCTTCATTTTTGGAGTGAAATCTTAAAAAAAGAAAACTTAAAATAATCTACGACTTCCGTAAAGAGGCCCTCAAAGATATTCCAAAAAAGTAATATTTTTTAAGGATGTCCTAAAAAACTGTTCTTTAAAACAACCCAATTTGTTCTTAAGAAATTTCAAAAAAAAAAAAAAAATCGTGGCGCTTGTCGCGATAAGCTAATTCTTGAAAATTAAAAAAAAAAAAAATTATTACAAGAATGTCCCAAAATTATTGGCGATATTGGGAATGAAATCTTGATTATTTAAACAAGTTTATTGGTCAGAGGTCCGTAAAAAACGGGATCCTATATATATTTTAAAAATCTATTATATATATATATATATATATATATATATATATATATATATATATATATATATATATATATATATATATATATATATATATATAGGAAGATTTTGCAAGAGGGTAATCCGCAAATAATTAAAATTTTAATAATAATTATATATATATTTTTAATTTCATACAACCAGGAACTTGTTTAAAAAATCCTATATATATATATATATACTAGCTGGCCCGGTCCGCGTTGCCGGCCCCTACTTTTAGTTTTTAATGCATATTTTTTAAGGCATTATAGAACACTGATCTGAATGATTTCAAAATAGTCAAAGATAATTGGTCTTTTACACCCATTACCTTAAGATAGGAATTATATTATTTTTGTCATTTAAATTGTGTGTTGGAGAACCCATAAAGTCCATATTTTTCTTCATAGTATAATTCAATAACGATCCAAAAAATAATATTCGTGATTTTTTCATGTTTCTGCCACAATTTGATATTTCGGAGTTCAAAGCATGTAGACGTACATCCCACTTCTACGTTCCCAGCCAATATTCTCTTGAGAGTTAAAAATTCAATAGTATACCAAATTTTTTTTTCTGACCAAACATTGGTTAGGAATGTGGATTTGCGGGTACACTAATGTGGGAACTATACTTAATAAAATGCCTATGTGGACAATTATCTGTAAGACGATTCTCTATCCCAGAGTAGCCTAAATACAATTTTTTAGCCAAATCAATTAATGAATGTGATCAAGACCAAGATGGACTCTACTCCAAAAGTCAAAATATTATGAGAAGAGGTTTTTTACACCCGTAGAAACAAAGATGTCAAATAAAGGCCTGAAAAATGAAAGAAAAATGTCGAAAACCCCGAATATAGCTTAAATTATATAATGGTTATACCAAAACGTGATCATTTTTTGCGAGGATGGTTTCTTCTCAAATTACCAACTTTTGCTAAAATGCATATGAGTAAAATATGGTTAAAATGTAAACTATACTTGAAAAAGGAGTGTACCCTTATCCGGGGGTCATATATCGTGACCTGCAAAAGCGATTTAAGATATCTTGAAAGTTTTTTTTTTCCTAAATGTCCAATTCGCTCTACCATTTTGCTCCAATGAATTGCATTTTGAGTTCTCATTGGGCGGATTATTGTAATATGAAAGAAATAGGTTCACATATAAGGGTTATACCAAAGCATGGTCCTATTCTTATAATTATTTGAAAAAATGTGTTGTTCTTCTTAAAATCTCAAATTACCAACATTTGATATACATCTGATATATATTTTGAACAACTGATTATTCATGAAACCCCTAGGAAAAATTTAAAACTCTATGGTAACTTTTGCGAAGTATAGAGCAAAATATTTGAGGCCCTTTGTGTTTGGTTAAACTATATAAAATGGACCCTAAAAACGTTTGATCCCCCCTTTTTGGGATTGTTATGTACCAACCAAACTGACTACTGATGATAGCGCATAGTCACCGTATAACGTTTCATGGGAGTTAAGGTTACTTTTAAGGTTTCGGAAGAATTTTCCGAGGAAATGTATCCTTTTCTTTCCAAATTTTCAATTTGCTCCACTATTTTATATAGTTCGCATATAACAGTGCTCTTCATATTCGGTATTTCACTGGTTGCAGTCCCAATGAATTTTGCATTTTAAGTTCTCATTGGATGGATTATTTCCATATCTAGTCAATTTCCATTGAATTTTTTTTTTCGATTTTTCCCGATTTGAGAATTTTTGCCATGAGATCTCTTTTATCGTGTTTTTTAGCGATTTTGAAAAAGTAATTATCTTTTAACATTGGTCTAACCGCGTTAAGTTGTTTCGATATCATTTGACTGACTTCCATGCAACCCGCCATCAATTTCAGTTCTCAAGAAATCAAGTCAATTAAATAAATTGGTATTAATATTCGAATTAAAAAAAAAATAAAAAAAAAACACTACAAATGTACATTAGAAAAAAGTAAGTCAAAATGGAAAAAAAATCATGCAAAATAAAACATTACTATTGTACATTTGAAAAGTCAAAATTAAAATTTTAATATATCACATTTTTACGCGATTTTTTTGAATATTATCCTTTTCGGAAAAGAGACAATTCCGAATTTGTATGAATCGTTAAAATCGGATCAGCGGATCTTGAGTTATAAGCGTAGTAACTAACACAACTTACATTTATATATATAGATATATATATATATATATATATATATATATATATATATATATATATATATATATATATAGCGAATAAATTCTTTAAAAATATTTCAATACAATCTTGGTAGCCATCCAAAAGTATTTTTGTTTAACAATATCCTGTTCTTTTATGAAATTCACTAATGAAAAACAGACCTGGACTATGCAGCTTTCGGAGAGAATTATTCAAAATTATTCACATTTCAGCCATATAGCTAGAGAGCGTATGTATCATTTGATACGGCCAAAACGTGCCTCATCGACCATATCCGTTTCAGGACATTTGTGGTCGATATAGCGATATTCGTTAGTCCTCCCGTCTGTCTGGCTGGCTGGTGAGCACGATACCACTCGAAGGGAGTATCCGATTTGATTCAAAATTGGCACACCGCATTATTATTATCAAACTAAGATCGAGTTCGGAGATGACTAATATCTCCTTCTGATACCTCCACCATAAAATTAAAAGAAAATATTTTACTGTACAGAAAGAAGGATAATCCGATTTTGCTCCAACTTTGCAAATACTAATATATGCATTAGTGCTAGGTCAGGTGCGAAACGGGACGACATCGGTCAACTCCAAGTACCTCACCGACAGAAGGGTTAAAATTTTGAATAACCATAAAGTTCATTAAACGAGAAATGAAAATTTGATTCGATTCAGACTTGGCACATATCAATGTTTCCATCAACAGAAGATATGTTATAAAGGTGGTAGAGATCCTACCATTTCTTCAAAGAGTCAAAGTTTTGAATAACCAAAACGATCATAAAATCCGAATTAAGCATCGGGTTATCTTCAAATTTCACATATCTCGTTATTTCTACTAACACAAGATCTGGTGTTAAGGTTGAATATGTCGAAATTTACATTCGATTCCATTCAGACTCGGTACATCTCGATATTTCCATCAACACCAGATCTGTTATAAAGGTCGTAGGGATCGGACCACTCCTTCTGGTACCTCCCCCACATAGGGTTCACAATTTTGAAAAATCAAAACGCTCAAGGAAAATCGAATAAAGCATCCAACTCTTATCAAATTTGACACATACAAACATTTTTACTAGCCCAAAATCTGTTGTGAAGATGATATACATATATCTGGGAACCCCTTCTGGTACCTCAGCCACAAAGGGTCACAGTTGTCAATACTTTTATCAGTCATAACATGCGAAACATCATCAGCGATTTTGTACAACTTGCTATACCAAATATTTCATTCAGAAACCTGAGATGAATATTGAATTTATAATTTCGCTTAAAATTGGATGTAAATGTTCGATTTTCTTGTAATTTTGCCCATACCAGTATTTTTATTTGTATTTGATGTAGTATGAAAACGGAATACGTCAGTCGACTATATATGGTACCTACCTCACTTACATTTTAATATTTTCCACAAATTATCACATATCTCATATAAAATTGGAGGAAGTAACCGAAATACTCCAATCCTGGCACTTCGCAATATTTATATCATATTTAGTTAGGTACGATACGAAATGGACAATATTGGTCTATTCATGTGGAACCTACTCCATGGAGGGTCAAACATTTGAATAATCATAAAAAATAAAAATATATATTTAAATAATCCAACATTGACTGCGGGTATACATCTGTCGGCAGGCATGACTTTAAGATTCCTTAATTAAAAAAATCAAGAAAACTGTGGATGAGGGTGGAACCTGCGATGTGAACGTTCAAAACACCGGTACACGCGTCTTTTATTTTTAGCTCTACTTTCATGCAATTATTACAAAATTTGAATATTTTCGCATAGTGTTATATTTAGTGGATGTGAGTTAAGATAGACAATTTTAGCAAATTTTAAAGCATACTTTGAGGCGTCTATTTGAAAAAGTCTATATATTTGTATGATAACAAGAGAAATGTATTACAAACTTTATTAAAAAAAATGCAGCTGAATGAAATGACACTTCCACGTTGTCCATGTTGATTTTGAACCTCCATCGATCTTCCGTCCAAGGTCTGTTATTATACCCTTCCTCCTCCTAAGAATTAAAACCACCAAAAGAATTTTAGTTTTTTTTTTTTTATTTTTTTTATTTTATTCGTAAATTTTACTGTTTTTTTTGTAGAGTTTTTATCTATATATAGTTTCCATCCGTCGTTTTCTTATCGATTTTATTTTTCTTTTGTTTTATTCTAATAATAATATTTATTATTTTATTATTTTTTTTTTTTTGCAAATTAAAACCAATTCTGTTTGTTTTGTTAAACATTATTCAGTACATTCATACAAACTGTGGTTGTTGTTTTGAGTTTTTGTTTTGTTTTTGTTTTTCGTCTTTGCATTTCGAATTGTTGAAATAGAAAAGAATTGTGAGTAAGGATTCAACTGAAATTCGGTTGTCATGACATTACTTCGAGAATAGAAAATAAAATTTAATTTTACAAATTTAAACAATAATAATTACTGGTTACAATAAAGAGAGAGAGAGACAGAAAGATGGAGTATGTATGGGTGTATGTTTTGTAGCTGCTATATATTTAGTGGAAAATTATACAGAGGCGTTGTTGTTGTTGTTTTGGGGGATTATTAATAACATTGGAATATTGTTGAAGACGGGAAGATAAATGTTGATTTTATTATAAGAAAAAAAAAAGAAATGAAAATACATAGTAGTTGTGTATATATAAAGTTGGTTGGTTAATGAGGGTATTATAAAACTAAAAAATATATATATATATTGAAGAGTAAATACAAAAATTATATGTGAGTAGTTGTTTTTAGTAGTATAGGGGTTTATATGTTTGAAGATAATGGTCAATTATTTGTGTTTCTTCTTTGAAAATTTAAAAAAAAAATGGTTTTTATTATTGAATATGAATAATTGACCAGTTTCTTTTTGAAAAAAAAGAAAAATAATAAAAATCAAATACAATGTTTAGGAAAAATTACAAATTGTTTGGATGGAGTTTAGCAACAAATGTGGTTAATTTTGTTTTTCTTTTTTTTACAAACAATTCATGGCTAAACATAACTTAAATTATATTCATTTATGTAATGTTGTTGTTGTTTTTCTTTTAATACATAATATAAAAAAAGTTATTAAATCTGTTGTAAGGATTATTATTTTGTTTAGTATGGCATTTCATGTGGTTGTTGTTGTTGTTGATTTTTTTATATTAGTTTTAACAAAGCAAAACATATTTGGCTATAAGAAATAATATTTTATTATTTATTTATTTTATTTTTAGTTTTTTTCTTTTCTCTTTGTTAAATCAACAACATAATTTTTTTTTAATTCTTTTAAAGAAGAAGAAAAAAAAAATAAAAATTACATATATATTTCTTTGTTATCTTCCACACATATATTTAATTAATTTTTAATATTATAACAATTACAAAAAAAGAAGAATATTCTGTAAGATGCCAGTGTTATGTTTTTGATGGTATAATAGCTGCCATTTTTTATATAGCTGTGTTGTTATTGTAAATTATTAGCTTAATTGTATTAAATTAGAAAAAGTTAAATTAAAAATTATTTTGATTATTTGAAAAAAGCACAAAAAACACAATATTTTTTTTTTGTTTTTTATTTAATAATTATGGAAATTATATAGACGTGGTATGCTTTAAGAATTATATAATTAATTATAAATGTAAAAAAGGCGCATTGATTATGTTAGGGCGTGTTTTGATTATGTGTTTGGGTGTAAATGGGGAGATTTTTATTTTCAAAATATTGCAACAAAGAAGTTTATGTTTTCTTGAACTTTATAATGGATTTCTATATATCTGGCGTCAAGGACTACTTCGGCTATTATTATTTATTTATTTATTTTTTTTTTTGGAGATTTGTGAGCTTTGCAAGAAGAATTTGCTTTCAAAAACATTTTGGGGATCATGGGAAAAATGAAATATTTTGATATACATTTTTTTCAAGGAAATTTCTAGAAAAAATTTATTTAAAATCATTTCATATTTCATATTTGTTATCGGAATTAGATATTTTTTTAGAGTTTTCATAAAAATTTTCACAAAATAAACAGGGTTCGTCAGAAAAAGTTATTTTTTATCTAGTCCTTATTTCTTTAATTGTCTAACCTTTATATTCAATATATACCCTGTATATTCAATTCAATTTAAAAAAAAATATTCAAAATTCTAAAACTCCGTTGAAGCGTGAGGAGATTGATTTTTAAGTATTTTACTCGAATCATTCAAATATTTTTTTATTTTAATGAAATTTTGTTGGGACTTTTTTTTAAAGGAAGTGAAAATCTCGAACCACAAAAACGAATTGATTGTACCACATTTTTGTGATTTCGAAGAAAAAATTGGGTCCTCAATTCAAGTATTTGATGTGAATCATGTTAGAAAAAAATAAAAAGTACTAAAAAATAACTCAATTCATATCAAAAAAAATATTCAAAATTCAAAAACGCCGTTGAAGGGTAAGGGGTTTAATTTTTAAATAATTTACTCGAATCATTCAAATATTTTTAATTTTATGAAATTTTATTGGTATTTATTATTAAAAACGTAGTGAAAATCTCAAACCACAATAAAGAATTGATTTTTCAACATTTTTGTGATTTCGAAAAAAAAAATTGGATCCTCAATTTAAGTATTTGATGTGAATTATGTTAGAAAAAATTTAAAAGTACTAAAAAAATAATTGGCGACCCCTTTATATTCAATAAAAATTAAAAAAAGTACTAACAAACTATTTTGAATTTTCTTCTCTGGTCGTCCTCAACAAGACGAAAAAATCTCGATTTAGAGGTCTTCTTTTAAGATGTCACTTCAAATTCGAATGATACATTTCGTCACGGGGAGAAAATTAGAACAAATTTTTAATTTTTAACCGAAATTGATTTGTTTTGGTCTTATTAATAGAAAAATATGTTTTTAAAAAAATTTTGTGATACTTGAAAATTTTGAGTTTTGAATTTAAAATTACTTTTTTTTCAGTAATACACCAAATATTCAAAACTCAACATTTTCTCGGAAACATCTTTTTTCTCTTAATAAGGCCAAAACAAATCAATTTCGGTTAAAATTTATCGAAAGGTACACATAATAAAGCATTTTTCATAACGTATTCAAATTCGAATGATAAATTTCGGCACGGGGAGAAAATTCATTTATTTTGGTCTCGTTAACCAAAAAGAAGTTTTCCAGAAACTGTTGGGATATTTGAAAATTTTGAGTTTTAAATTTGAAATTACTTTGTTTTCAGAAATACACTCCGAATACAAAACTCAAAATTTGCAAATATTAAAAAATTTTCTTGAAAACATATTTTTCTTTTAATAAGGTCAAAACCAAATCAATTTCGGTTAAAAATTTATTGAAAGGTATACAGAATATCGATATCGAAAGGTATACTTGAGAGTGGTGAATAGAAGTTAAAAATGGAACCCACTCTATTCAAATCAAATTTGAATTCTTTCGTTTGCAGAGAGAGACAAAGACAAACTGGCTATTTTATGTAGTTCTGAAATTCCCTTAATATTTGCAATATTTGAAGTCTTAAACTTTGGTTTCCCAATTCGTTTCTTGCAAAAATCACCCATCTCCATAAAATAAAAAAATAACATTTAGTGGAAAAAATTTACTCTAATTCATTGATTTATGGGTTTTATTTTATTGTTTCCTTTTTTCGATATCTAATTTTTCAAGTGAAAAAAAAAAAATTATCAAAGGTTTGTGAAAAAAAAGAACATCCAAATATTTGTGTTTTTGTTTCTTGTTTTCAATCATATGTTCTTTGTTATTGTATTAGTATTGATTTTTTTTGTTTTTTTTTTGTTTCAAGTTAAGAACTAATAGTCATTTTTTTTTTTTCTTTAATTTTTCTTGTTTTGTTAATAATTTTCTGTTTCTCTTCGCATTTCAGCTTAAAATACTTTTTGTTGTGTTTTTTGTTTTGAAATTGATTTTTTTTCAATGTTCGATTTGTTTTTGTTTTCTTCTTCTTTTTTTCCTTCTTTGTATATATATACGAATTACACTAAATATTACATTTATTTAATATTATTTGTAATTTTGTGTTTTTTTTTTCAATTTTTTTTCATAAATAATATTTTTGTTGTTGCTGATTTAATGAGTTTTTTTTTCAATATTTTGTTTCGCTTATTTTTTTCTTTCCATAAAAATTATAATAGTTTTCTTTTTCGAGTGTAATTTTTTGTTAATAAAAATTAAAAAAAAAGGAAAATACAAAAAAATTAATTTTATAATATTTATATGAGAATTAAAAAGTGGAAAAATGATTAATATTATTTTTTTTAAGAATAATTATTGTTTACAATTACATATGTATTGGTTGTTGTTTGTTTGTAGTGTAATTAGACTTTGTTTCGTGAATAAATTGCCAGATTCCAATGGAATTTGTTGTTGTTTTTCATGGAATTTTGAATCAAAAAAACAAATTTTTGCATTTTTTTTCAGTGGAGTTGAATGGTTTGAGTTTTATGTGTGTGTTTTTCTTTTCAATTCAAGTTTGCAGTACTTTTATAAAAAAAATGCCTATTTATCAGTTGTTGTTGTAGTTGTTCATTTGTTTTTTTTTTAATATAAATAAAGGTGATGTTTATATTTGTTTTAGGCTGCTACTTTTCCACTCTGTTTGTCAATTGTTTTTATTCCATAAAAAGGTTGTTATTGTTTGTGGTTTGTTTTTATTTTCTTTATATTTTGTTGTTGTTTAGTTTTCTTTAAAAACGCCTTTCATTTTCTCAGGCAAAAAATTCTCGATTTGTTGCATTTTTCGCATAGGAATTCATAGCAGGTGATCGTTTTGGCTCATCCAGGGCATAGGAACCTTCATCCTTTTTTCTCATGCGATAGACAATGAACATGACCACCAGAATGGCGCACAATAGACCCACAACAGCTCCGCCAATAACCGCTGCAAGAGAAACAAAAAAGCACAATTAAATTATTGAATTTTAAAAATAAATACGAAATCATTAATCATCTTCTTCCATACACATTTGGTCTATATTTCAAGTCACTCTAGCTGTGGTTACTTCGTAATCTTTCGTCTTACTTCGATCAAACTTAACTGAGCAAGTAATGCTCATCAAGTTGAAAACATACAGAGACCTACTACGATTACTCTCCCTCCCTCACTTGCGCTCGCTCATTCACTAATGCACACAGAGAGTGTGTGTGTGTGTGTTTTTCCCTTCCAATGTGGTCAAACAACATCCGTCATGGAGTTCATATTTGGCATCTGAACTCTCATCGACTGAGATTTGTTTGGAAATTGCCAGTCTCCATACTAAAAAAAGTGTGACTCATAAAATATCGTCCAAAAATTAAGTCACACAGCTAATTATTATTTTATTTTAGCAACGGCACGCACACAAGATCAAAGTCAGCAGTGTTGTCAACGCCTTGAGGGGGTAAAAACGCTAAAATGTTTTATTTCGCTATTAAACAAAAGATTAGCTTCAAGCACTTTTACATTTCGAATGTACCATGGAATTAAGTATTTTGAGGTCATAAAAATGTCCTAAAGGAATGGAACGTAAATCGTAATAATGATGAAATTCAAATTATTATATTGAAAGAATGAAATAATAAGGTATAGTTCCAATAGTTGGAAAAATTCTGATAATTATAAAATTCTGATAGTCTGATAAATTAATAATTTATCATTTTTAAAATAATTTTAAATATCTTTAGAAAAATAATATTATTGTACAATATTTACAATCATGCGAATTTTCTGATTTAAATTAAACAAGTAACATGTTAAAAAGTAGTTCGGCCGGGCTGAACTTTGAATACATTTGGAATTTTCAAATAAAATCCTTAAAAAATTCTGTTTAAATTTTTAAAAAAAATTGACAATAGCCGTTATATTGGTGTCTATACGACGTGGACCTACGTAAGCATTGTTTGCCATAAGTCATTACCAAAATTTAAATTCGAAACGTGAAATAAACGGTGAATAATGTAGCTAAAATCAACGAAATATCGTATACAGGGAGGTACCGTTATATCGGCATAGACAAGTTTCTGTCATAGGCTGTAGCCTCCATTACGAAGTTCAAATACGACATTTTACTCAATTTCGGTGGGTATTGTACCTAAACTCATCAAAATACCGAATATAGGAAGGTACTGGTATATGGGGCCTATAAGAAGACCTGGACCTGCATAGACAATTTTCTGTCACAGACTGTAGTTCCCATTACGGAATCTAAATACCAAATTTTAAACAATTCCGGTTGATAATGTCGCTAAAATCATCAAAATACCGAGTATAGGGAGGTACCGTTTTATGGGGGCTATACGAAGATGTGGACCTATATGGTCCATTTTCAATACCAAAAGTACTGCAGACATAATACACATTTGAGTAAATTTTTATGAACTTACTTCATTTCGTTCGGAAGCTAGAGTGATTTCTGGTAACAATGCAGAAAATTGTGTGTGCAGGTCCACGTCGTTGTGTAGACCCTAATGTAACGGCTACATTCGGTATTTTTAAGATTTTAACAGAATTTTTAATGGATTTTAATTTTTTGAAAATTGCCAAATTTGTACCAATTGATGGTACAAATTTTTTACTTGTTTTAATTCGGATAATTCCTCGCATATAATTGCAAATCAGGGTTGGGCATATGCACTAAATTTTTAGTGCACTAAGAATTAAATATTTAGTGGTAGTGCAATTTTTAATTCCACTACCACTAAAGGGTTAGAGGTAGTGAAAAATAAATTGCAGTACCACTAACCCTTTAGTGATATTTAAAAAAAAATTGCACTACCACTAAATTTTAGTGGTAGTGAAATTTTAATAGCACTACCACTAAATTTAGTGATTTTTCAAAAAAAATTGCACTACCACTAAATTTTAGCGAAGCCAAAAAAAGCACTATGTATATAAGTATTATACCAGCTATAACGAAGTTTATTGAAGTGAGTAGGGAACAACAATCCAGAATATATAGTACATATTCATAAAATTTGATTACTTTTCTAAATAGCACTAATTTAGTGCTATTTTTTATGAAATACCACTAATTTAGTGCAAGTTTTATTAAATACCACTAAATTTAGTGGTAGTGCTATTGAAATTTCACTACCACTAAAATTTAGTGGTAGTGCGGTATTTTTTTAAATATCACTAAAGGGTTAGTGGTAGTGCAATTTATTTTTCACTACCAATAACCCTTTAGTGGTAGTGGAATTAAAAATTGCACTACCACTAAATAAACAGTGATAGTGAAATTATTAGTGCACTAAAAATACAGTGCACTATGCCCATCTCTGTTGCAAATAAATGTTAGATGTCCATCATAATGTTTGTTTTCAGTATTAGATGAAGTGGAAGACTTCGGTCCACTTTATCGCACATTTCTTAATTTTTCAAAGTATATTACATTTCTCATGCGAATGTGAAAGAAGTAGACCAAATCTGGTACATTTATATCAGACTTAGGTCAGATACAAAATGGACAAAATTAACCCACTCCTTTGAAACCTCCCCTAAAAAAGGGTCCAAGTCAAAATATATTTAAATCAACGAACAGTGGCTGAGGGTATACATCTGTCGGCAGAACCGCCAGACAACTAGTTATTTATTATTATTATTATTATTGTTTTTATTATTATTATTATTATTATAATTATTATTATTGTTATTATGATTATAATTATTATTATTGTGATTATTATTATTTATTATTATCATTTTATTATTTATTTTACCATATTTGTAGCAGTTTGATTGTAATAAAATAAAGAAATCGTCAAAATTACGAAAAATTGCCACATTAGCAGCACTATTCTGCGAGTAACACACACACACACAATACTCATTTATGGAAAAAATGAGAACAACAGAGTACAGATATCTCAATTCTGCATGAAATCATTTGAATGTTTGGACAAACTAAGCAAATGTTTGTTTGACATATAAATTTAAATTCTTGGCATGTCAACAATAGTCGATTAAAATCACACGTACATACATACATATGTGGATTCTTTGCAGTGAATTTCGGTTTAGTTCTTATAGACCTCGTGCCAATTTCTTATACATGGACAACTAATGAAGAAAGAGCAAGGTGAACACAACGTTAGTCGCCGAGATTTTTTAGATTCATAGGAAGGTCATAAAACCCATTTGGCGAAATTTTGAACAATTGAACAATTTTCAAAGATGTGACATGTTCCATTCTATGCTCCATGTGAGTCGATATAAATTGGCCATCACTTATTATTTGTGTTTGAAGTTCATTATTATGGTGAGTTGTTAAAAAAAATTACCGGTTTAACTCAACACTTCTTAAGATTTTCACAATAAAATTTCGCACTCTCTTTGTGATTTATAGGGTTAATAAATAAGCCATAAAAAACTATTATTAATTGACAAAATTCATACATACCCGCCAAAATTCCAGGTTGGGCGAAGAAGCTCGCCGTTCTGTCGTCATCGTTGGCATTCATGATTAGAACCTCGTTGCCGGTTGTCTGTTCGATTACTTTAGTCTCCGGTTGCAGACTATTGATGCTGTTCGTATCCAAATCGTGGATGTTGGTGCCTCCTTGGGTATTGATGCCACCAGCTGTATGAGTAGAACGGCCAAGGCGAAGACGAATGACCAATGTCAAGAGCAAAAAAAAAAGCAAATACAACGAAGAAAAGACAGAGAAAGAGAATAGAAAAAAATTAATTATTATTTTTTTTTTTTATAAAAATAAAATACATTTTTTTAGATTTCAATTCAATGGCTACTATTGAGTCAGTATACAATACAACAGAACACATACAATTAGTATGGACATTAGGAAATGCGGGTGGTTTTTGGCGGCGGGGTGGGATAAAAATGTACATGGAAAATTACAAAGAAAATATGTATGCAAAATAAAAAAACAATGGAAAATATAAAAATAGAACAATAGAATATAAAAAATTTACATGTTCGCCCATGTAAATCAAAGCAGAAATTAATTTACCCAAAACACGCACACATCAACAAGCATATATAAATAAATAAATAAATTATGATAATATAATCATGCTACACAAACAAGCGTTCGAACGAACTTAGTTGTAGAGATTTGTTGTTTACTAAATATATATTGCAGATTGTTCATATATCAATTTTTATGTATGAATGAATGAAATGTATTAATCAGCTACTGTTAGAGTCATATATGAGGTGACCTTTTCACATTGTATATTAAAAACTATTTGACATATTTTTACAACGCTTCCAGCAAATGTTAAGCAAAAACTGTACAAAACCAAAGAAAAATCTTTATAATCCGAAAAAGTTTCCTTTTATTTGGAAATATGTATGGATCACCTAAAAGTATGCTACAAAAAATACTAAAAATAACTATTGTTCAGTTTACACAACATGTTAGGGCTTTTTCCAATTTTGTACCTAAAATTTTTATTCCTTCTACCATACATAGAGTTCTTTGAGAGTACTTTACTCCCTGAAAAAGAATTGTCTCTATAGGTCTCTATAGGTTTCCCATATAACGGCACCTCCCGATATTCAGTATTTTGATGATTTTAGCCATATATTTCAATGGAATTATCTGAAAATCCACACAAGGAGTTCCTTGTGAGTACTTTATCCCCTGGTAGAGAGTTTTCCATATAGGTCCGCGATATCGTATGGCTCCATATAACAGTAACCCCCGATGTTCGGTATTTTGATGATTTCAGGATTATTTTTCAATGGAATTTTATGAAAATCCACACCAGGAGTTGCTTTTGAGTACTTCAACCCCTGGAAGACAATTATCTATAGAGGGCCAAAGTCTGAATAATTACAACTGATGTCAAAATTTATTTAAATATTCGAACATTGGCTGAGGGTTTACATCTGTCGGCAGAACCGACTTATACTAGTTTACTTGTTTTATTATTAATTTACCTTATAACCACCAAGGATAAGTCTCGATCAACAGATATATATTTTTTTTAATTTTGTAATTGTTATCCGAAAGAATGGACACTTGGTTGTAAAAAAATGGATTTCGAAATATTTACTCTTCTCTCTCTCTGTCTTTCTGAAACGAAACACAAGCATAGCCAGAATTCCTAGAAAGATCGTAACCAAAAAAAAAAAAAAAAATCTCAAGAAATAAACACTTATTGCTAACTACACCACACTCCTACAAATCCAGTCCTGCAGATTGTTTGTCTCCTCTTCTTGGAATTTATGCACCCCTTTCCGTTACCAACTTTACTTTTGTAAAATAAATTCCTGGTGTAAAAAATTCTCTTCGGGAGGGGCAAAAGAAATAAATAAATTGTAATAAATTTCCATGGAATTGAATGACAAACCGACGTAAAGAAATTCCGGGAACCGAAGAAAATGGAAAAGCTGCTTCGACAAATAAAATTGAATCCATCAGGACAAAAATTGTAAGGCAAAGAAAAAGAAGAAGAAGACTGTATTTGAAAGCATATTTATAGCTTACAAAATACAATATGTATGGGTGTGTGTCTGTGTGAATGATATAAGAAATCAGTTACACATAAACACTTGGATTGGAAAATTGAAAAATATATTTATTATTGGCATATTGAATTGAAAAATGGTAAACAAAACAGAAGTGGTTCTCAGAAATCGTTACTGTAACGAGAAGACTTTAGGTGGTCACAAAGGATTGTTTGAAAAGGGGAAAAAGATTTATAGGAGAGATATTGTATAATTTCTGGGAAAATGTAACTTGAAGTAAAGATGGAAATGTAATTTTTCTATGAAGAGATGAAATAGACTTGTTCCATTACAAGGGTCAAAAAAAAAAAGGAAATTAAATGAAAATGCCAAAAACTGCAACCAGCATCAGACTGCTGTCATTTCTAATCACCACTCATCCCACAGCTGTTAAAATTATTCCAGTGACAGCTCATTATATTGTTAACAAGCGTACAAAAGCATTTTGGTGAGAATTTTCCAGAAAAAAAGTTAGTCGTAATGGAATTCAAGCGTGATAGTGTGATTTCTTTATATTTGGCTGTCGAACCACAAGTGGCTATCGTTAGAGCATTCGAGCATTTGAATGTGAATACATCTTTTGTGTCTCGTACCATCGTTCATTACCGTGAACGGAATAAAACAGCAACATCAGCAGAAATGGTTCGAAAAATAAAAAAGCGACTTGATCGAAACCTGCGTCGCAGTGGCCGAAAAATGGCTCGTGAGCTGAACATATCGCAATATCCCATTCGGCAAATATTGTCAAATGAGCTCGGGGTAAAACCATTGAAATTTCGAAAAGTGCAAGAACTGACATCGCAACAGAAAGAAAATAGACTCAAAAGAGCTAAAGAGTTGCATTCCTTGGCCGAAAGTGGTGAACTGCCGAATTTGGGTATCTCCGAGGAGAAAACGTTCGTTGTGCAGCAGTTTGTAAACAAACACAAGTAAAAAAGCTGTAAGTTCGGCTGGGCCGTTCCACCATTTGGAACGAATTTAGCAATACTCAAAAACAATAAAATCCGTTAAAATCTTAGAAATACCGAATGTAGCCGTTATATTAGGGTCAGTACGACGACCTGCATAGGTAATTTTTTGTATAAGCCATTACAATATTCAAATGCGAAACTTAGAAAAAATCGGATAATGAAAAATTGAATAATGTAGCTACAGTCATCAAAATACCGATTATCGGGAGGTACCGTTATATGGTGGCTATACGAAGGCGTGGACCTGTACAAACAATTTTCTGTCTTAGGATTTAGTATTCATTGCGAACTTCAAATCCCAAATTCGAAACAGTTCCGGTGAAGAATCTTGCTAAAATCATCAAAATACCGAATATCGGGAGGTATCGTTATATGGTGGCTATACGAAGACGTGGACCTGCGTAGACAATTTTCTGCCTTAGGCTGTGGTATTCATTACGAACTTTAAACACCAAATTTAAAACAATTCCGTTGAATAATGTCGCTAAAATCATCAAAATACCGAATATAGGGAGGCACGGTTATATGGGACTATACGAAGACCTGCACAGTCAATTTTCTGTCTTGGGCTGTAGTAACCATTACGATCTTCAAATGCCAAATTTGAAACAATTCCGGTGAATAATGTCGCTAAAATTATAAAAATACCGAATATCGGGAGGTACCGTTATATGGGGGCTATATGATAACGTGGACCTACATGACCCATTTACGAACATAACCTGCCTACTGGCAAAATATACATGTATGCAAAATTTTAGCCTTCTATCTCAATTCGTTCGAAAGATGAGCGTGATTACAACAGACAGACAGACGGACGGAAATGGCTAAATCGTCTTAGAATTTTGCGCTGATCAAGAATATGTATACTTTGTTGGATCTGACATGAGTATTTCGAGGAGTTACAAACGGAATGACAAAATGAATATACCCTCCATTGTATGGTGGAGGGTATAAAAATGATGGTGTTTACTTGCCAAAGAGGTCACCTTCGGTGGGCCGTCATAACAGCCGATGGTCACTCTCCGCTCTTATTAATAATAAATGCCCAATGCGTCAGAATGAATGCCGAATGTTAACGCGAAAATATTCTTGAGGGTGTATTAAAGCCTTGGGCACGCAAACATTTTGGCCGCATACCTTGGACATTCCAACAGGCTTCAGAAACATTGCGCTCAGCACGCACCACCCAAGAATGGTTACAAAATGAGGTTCCTCGTTTCATTTCCAGCGCACAATGGCCACCAAAATCTCCGGATACCAATCCGTTGGACTATTGTGTCTGAAGTATTTTGGAAAGCAAGGTTGACACTAACAAGATACCAAAGTGTCGATCACGTAAAGCAAGCGCTTTGCCGGGAATGGACCAAAATACCGTAGAGCAACATTCTGACAGCGTGTGACGGTTTCATTGGCCTTTTGAAGGCCATAATTCGTGCCAAAGGTGACCGATTCGAACGAATCTAAACTTATTTTAAAAGTTGATGCTATTTCCGATATATTTTGCTTTCATTCAATAAAATTTAAAAGAAATGTAAAAATTATGGCGTTTTACTTTGTTGTAGTTTTTTTTATCTCACCCTGTATTGACAGTTCTATGCAAGGACGTTTCTTACATAATTGGAGCATTTGCTATCGATTTTCAATAAATTTGAGTTAAAATTGTGACTTAAACATCTAAAATACCGAATATCTGGAGGTACAGTAATATGGCGACTATACTAAAAAACATGGACCTATGTAGCTCATTTTCAACAGCAAAAGTCCTGCAGATCCAACACACATCTGGGTAAAATTCCATCAACCTTCTTCACTTCATTCAGAAGCTAGAGTTATTTCCACAGACGGAGGGACGAACATCGCTAAATCGACATAGAATTTTATGATGATCAGGAATATATTGTGTGGGGTCTAAAATGTATATTTCGAGGTGTTACAAACGGATTGACAAACTTAATATAACCTCCTCGAAATATAATGAAGAGGGGACGTAGAATTGTTCCAGATTATGACCCCAAATAGGAAGAACCAAAAACGAAATTAACAAGTTGAATAGTAAAGTCGGCTTTGCCGACAGATGTATACCTCCAGCCTTGGGTTATGATTGTTCTATCTCTTGACCCTTTTTGGGGG